CTTCATTATATCGGATTTAGGACTCGGCAGTTTTTTGTTGTCCATATCTGTTGGAGATAGCATACGTGATGTTGTGTCGTTGACGGAAATTCGCCAAATCCTATAGAATCATGAGTGATGTCGCATTCCGTCCTTTTGATATTTTCAGTTAAGCATCCTAAGCCAGTAGCATTACGGGTCCGGCTCACCTGCACTTCGATTTCTTTGCGTAATCCACGGCATCCCCAATCTTCTTCGTCGACGGGGTTCAGAACTGCAGATTCTCCTTTGCACTTGCGTGTATCGAGAAATGCCTACCATCATCCCTTGATTGACTGCATGTTTATTCTGCTTTGGTGGAATCCAAGTCTCGGCGACATACGTCAAATCGGGGAGGACCGCAGTGTCAGAAGGGTTAGCGCTTTTTATTCGGTTTGTTTTTATCCCCTTCACCACTCATTCGATGTTCTTGAATGCTCACCACAAACGCGTTTCTTTCTTGCGAGCTAGCTGATTGTTTATCATGTTGACTTCTCGAACTAGGTACACATAACTGGAGTATTGAGAGAAACCGTTTCTTTCAATGTGAGGGGAGCATCAGGTACCAATCCGCCTTTCATGAATATCGTCTTCGTTAACTTCCAAGCCATTTTTCCTCAAGCGCTGCCTAATTTGGCTAGAATTCGTTCCACCTGCTCAATAATCGGTGTTATAGCGATATTTTGCATATCCATTCTGCCTAAAACGATAGGTAGGCAGGTACACGCGTCCTTCCGTGATGAGTAGAATATGAACGCATCCCGGAATAACGGTTAGGGCGACGAAGGAGCTCTACTCGTCGAATCTTGCTCAGGTAACCGGACTTACACGGATATCCATTACTGAAGCCTCCCACTCACTAAGGAAATTCGGCCGGTTGGTGCCCTACGTGCCGCAATCCCAGATGGCGAATGGGGAACTTATCGTGGATCAAAAGGCAGTGGTACCTGAGCAGAAACGCAGATGGATTCAAAGGACGCTCTCCCTGTTTCTGCCGTGTTGAGCTGAATTATGTCTTTGAACTTCTCGCAGGGGTGTATCCATGCATGAGTGTGTTCAGAGTTGGGGGGGGGGGGGGTACTGTACGTTTGTGGGACCTCTAAAACTTCTTTCCCTCTTTGGACCAGCCTGACTAGCTACCCAGTAGCATTGGAAGGCATAGTTCCTCTGAATCTTAAGGAGAACTGAATAGTTGACAACCTGAATCATACTTTGCGATGGAATAGATGCGTCTAACCAAATCGAATAGTCTTCTTTTCCTAGGCACCAACATCGGGTAAGACGAAGAGAAGCTGAAGCGTTCTACATAGTTTGAGAAAGCTCTGGAGAGAGGAAAGTGATTCCTTCCAGATGATTTTTTCATCGTAGCCGATCTTGACGCCTTGACAAGAGACTGCAACCCTCACAGTGGGGCACACGGAACAGAATAGAAAGAACATGGTGAAAGATTATCCGAGTTTATTAGCTGTCCAACATCGTCTTTTGGCCTAGATGGCCCATTAGGCGCTCAACTTTCAAACAGTTCTCTTATGAGTGGGGAATCCGATCGAAGGCATACTACCACAAAATAAAACGGCAGCTTCCAAATGGATCTCCATATACAAGTATTAGCTCCACTGAACAACGTTACAACGCAGGCGTGTAGTAAAAATGTGTGAATCTCATTCAGCTGGCGGGGCGAAAATCATACTGGGTTTCGTGTTTGATCCATCCGGTGACCACTCCACGATAATGAAGAGCTTGAAGTTATAGGTGATTGTGCTGAGAGCTCGAAGCCCTGCGAGTCTGTCGCGAAAAAATGGAGGTGGCTAGAAAATAGGTTAAGATAACAAGGCCTTGGGTCATCTCGTAGAATGCGAAGGTGGTAACTTTGGTCACGATAGACCATATATTTCAATGTCGACATGATTTCGCTGGAACCGGCTCACGCTGGCACTCTAGAGAGCGATCTGCGCAACTCGGGTGCCTGCCATCGAGGAGTCTCTTGTGGAAACCATCTGAGGGGCTTCCTCATAGCGATCTATTATCTAATACCTAAAACCCGTTGGCGTGAAGCTAGCAAGGGCGAAATAAAAAAGGCGCGGTCTCCTTTCCACATAGCTTTCGCTTCTTCCTTCAAACATTAAACAGGTGAGCCGATGAACAATGATAATTCAAAGTGCCACTCGCGTGAAATGTACCCTGGACTATTTATCTTACTCGTTTGACCACGTCTTGTTGTTCTCATTCCTCATAAGCAGGATTGGGAGAAAAGATCCGTTCTAGCAGTGTCAATTCCCTCTGTGCCTTCTACCCTTCCTCGTTCACGGAGAGAATATTGGGGCGGTCGAGTACTCTAGGAGTGGCGACAGATACATGCTAAAGCGGAATCCTTGTGAATTGTTGCCTGTAGCATTTACTAGGTCGAAGGTAGAGAAGGATTTGTGCTTACAGAGTGTGCCGTCATGATCGTCACTGCGGATGCATATTCCTTAGTGCTGCTTTAGTCGGCTGCTGCATATTCCACAACGAAATGCCGAGTATGCCAGCATGACTAGTGACTGCAGTCCATCTATATGTATATTCTAACTATGCAGATGACGCAGTTTTCGAATTTCCTACAGATTGCCCTTTCAGAAAGGCTTCCAAGAATGGGGCACCACGACTGATCGATGCACTGAGGGCCGTTCCGTCAATTTCTCGTTGGACTAAAGAGCCACAGAGCTTTTGATGGCAGACCACTTCAGAATGATATTTGTGGCACATTAAACTTAGGGAGAAACCGCTCGCTCCCTTGATTAATGGGTGTCACGCGCGTCCTCCTGCAGAAGTAGGAGAGGTATGCTGTAGATTTCCGTCTGTCGAGGTGGCCCATCTCTACAATGTCTTTGAACAGAAGTACAGATTTTTGGCGTAAGTTCCATCTTCTTTATGGTTCGTCTCATTTACTGCGAAGAACTGATGTCTCTTCCTTTGAAAGCCTCTACCTCTTTTTTCTTATCTCTACAATGTATTCGAACAGAAGTACAGGTTTTTGACGCAAGTTCCGTCCTCTTTATGGCTCGTCTATTTTATTGTGAAGATCTGATGCCCCTGTCGTTGAAGCCTCCACCTGCCTTTCTTTATCTCTTTAATATGTTTGAATAGAAGTACAGGTTTCCGATGTAAGCTCCACTCACTTTTAGGGCCCTCTAACGCAGTGCTTAATCGTCCTTTCTCCTTTGGAATATTCCACCCATATTGTCTTATCCTTAGAAATTTTCGTGGAGAAGAACAGTTTTTCAACGCGTGTTTCGCCCTCTATATCGCTTGTTCCGCGTACTGGAAAGTCTTATGCCTTTTCCTTCAAAGTCCCCCACCTTCTTTCTCATTTGATGTAAGTTCTGTCCCTATTATGGCTTATCTCATTGACTGTGAAGATCTGATGTCTCTTTCCTTAACTGTTTCCACCTATTTTTCCACACCTCTTTAATATATTTGACAGAAGTACATTTACGCGTGGTTCTTTGCCACGCGGTTTATACGAAGAAAGGTTCCACCAAAATCCGTTGGACACTCGTTTATTGGCGCTATGCGCGCAATCCTCAAACTTAGGTAATTAAACCCATAATACAATGATAAAATCGATTATTGAGCGAATGAAACAATCAATCACAATATTAACCGACATTCTCAGAGAAATGGCGCTAAGTGAGGATGAGATAATCCTGGGAAGATTAAAGTCTGAATTAGATATGCCAGTTTAAGAGAAATCCGAAGCGCAAGGCGCACGTTAACGGAGGGAGGAAACGAGCGCACGTTGGTGGCAGTCCCCATGGCTGAAGCTAAAGGAGGGATTTAAGGCGGAGTCGCGGGGTTGCATAGAGTTCCTTCTAACCTCTCCTATCTATATATATTGTTATTCTAAAAGTTTTGTATTATTGATAAGCTGAGTTTCGCTTTTCCTTTCTTTAGCATTTCTCATGCCTTCGCGCGTTCCAATCTTTCCTGTCTCATGGTTCACTGGGAATGGGAACTGATCGCGTATAAATCGCGATACTCTCGGCCCAAAAATGCTGAGAAATGGCGCAGGAAAATCTGTAGGAAGCAGGTGCATATCATTCAATCTGAGCCCTTTGGTTAACTTAGCGAATTTCAAGGACAAATTCCAAAAAGAGCCAATTTTTGTCGAAGTTCCTCTAGTATGGCAATGCATCTTCTTCGGCCTTCGAGTGCTTTGATTTGACGCGAACGAATTTTTTTCGCAATAGTCCGGGTAGCCGCACAGTGCACTGTGATGACCGCGGTCACGACAATAGTAACAGACTGTACGGTATTCCTTACAGAGGGACCCTCCTGCACATATTATAATAGTTCGAGACACCAAATGCATCTGCCGGTTGTCTCGATCAACTGTCTCCGGATTGGGGGTCTCCTACCGCAGAACAAGAATCAGAATAGTGTGATCCTATGGCTTGGCAAAAGGCGCACCTCATGAAACGTTTCTGGGCTTTATTAATGTGCCCATTATTATATCTCCTTGAAGGGCAAATATATTCTTCCTCCAATTGCCGCAGAATTTCCTCAAAGTTATGTAGCGCTTGTTGAGTGCTTCTGAATTTGGTGCTAAGTGAGTTGGGAGGGGCCGCGCGGCGGCGCGGCGCCTTTTCTGTCTGTGCCCTCTGTAGCGAGATAGTAGTAGTGCGCCTGGGTCTGGGAAGGGATGGTGAGGTTGTACTGAAGTCTTTCGTGATTCAAAACAAATTACCTCTTGACACATGTTATATGCTTGCATACTATGGATACTCTTCTTCTGAGCCGATAAAACCCTATTGTTAAGAAGGGGAGGGGCTTCGGGGTGGGTGAGATGGTTATCTCGTGCAAAAAGCTGAGATGAGATAAAAGCTGAACGTCCAATTGGCTCACCCACCCCGGAGCCCCTTCCCTTCCTTAAATTAGGTGAAAACACGCAGTTATAACATGAAAGAACTTTGAAACGTCCCTAAACACCATTACGGACTCGCCTATTCTTGCTTGTCTACTATCTCACCGGAGAGGGCACAGACATGAAAAGGCGCCACGCCGCCGCGTGCCCCCCCCCCCNCCAACTCCCTTAGCACCCTGAATTTTTGCTCAATTCTGAGTACCATTTGCACTTCTTGTACGCCCTCACGAAGGCCGTTTGGGTCGTCTTCTTGATCAGTCTCTCTCATCAATATGTCTTCCTCGTCCTCGTCGTTTTCTGGCTCTCCATTATCTTCCCCCATCGAATTCTTCGATCTCTGCTTCTGCAATCCTTTCTTCAGCGAGCTCATTACATTCGACGACGACGACGTCATTTTCATGATGTTCTTCTCTTCTGCGCCTTCTTCTTCTGCAAGTCCTGCTTCCTCAGCTTCGACAACTTGTCTTTGAGTTTTTCTTCTTATTGGGCGATATCTTGCACGAGTTCGGCATCTTCTGTTGCGACATCTTCGTCGGGCTCTTCAGCGCCTTCCATAAAACCTGCGTTACCCTCGATAATGCCATTCTCGTCGCGATTTCCTTGTGTTTCCTTGTTGCCGCTTCTCTGACATTGTTTGCCGCTTCTCTGACATTGTGGATGGCGTGATTTATGCAGATACTTTTGCTCTATAATGCGTTCATTACAGAGTCTTTCGATTCTGTAATGAGCTGCTCGAGGTGATCGAGCTTGTGGCGCATGTCCCTCTCAAAGGTCTAAATATTTTCGTTTTGTCCGGTTTGGACTTCTAGGCGCACGTTTCTGAGGGTGGAATAAAAAGTGTCAAGCGTTTGTAAGTGATCCGGAATGACGTTTTTTATGATGGGTAAATCCATCACGAGGGTCACGTCTTCGCTTACCTTCTGCGGATGGCGCACAAGGGATTCCCAGAATTTTCGTGGCATTTTTCTTAAGGCAGTGAGTATAGGAGGAAGTGAATAAAGTGTGCGTGTATGTGATCTACAACAGAGGAATTTCAGACGAAGGTGATCTACTTCTGAGCTCAAAAGGCCAAATTCTAGAACGTAATCCTTAAAGGGCACAGGAGAGACGCATGACAGGACTTTTCTTACCAGAGCAGTAACGGCTTGTGTGCAGGTATAATAATCGAGACAGGATGACAGGACCCTATTGTAGAGCTGTTGCACTTTTGGAAGCTGTGGAATGGCATTTTTCAGTTGTTGCAGTTCGCGTTGCGTGCGATGGAGTTCGTTCGCTACGTTGTACACTAAAGAGATGAAGTTTTTAGGGAGACGCACCTAGTTGAGTACCTCTCTGGACATGTTCGCTTAGTTTTTTTTTTCTTGGCGTACCTACGTGGGTCCGTGGATGTTGGTGGTGAATTCGAAGAAATAAAGCTAATCTATATAATTTTAAAAGGATGTTTTATTATGGGTGGGTTGAGCCCACTTTTTCAAGGCTGTCTGTGGAGTTGCTTGTTTTCTTGTGGAGGCGTATGCCAGGATGCGTATAGCGATGCGAAAGGGTAAAGTAGTCAGACGCCAAACAATGTACAATATCAACTTAAGGAGGCGCATTCCAATAGTAGTGAGGGATATGTAAATCTGGAAGATTGACAGTACAACTGCCACAAGGACCATGAGTAAGCTCTTGTAACAATAAAGTAATACGTCAAAAATATGGTCAAAATTGAGCCACGAAGACTCATGGTAGTTGCTACTGCTGCCTTGTAGTTTAGACAGCAAAGGGTACTGTAGACTGTTGACATATTTAAAGATCCCTTCCAGCTTGAAGGGGTGCTTTAGGGTACCACAAGAGATAGTGCGGTCTAAAAGTTGGCGCTCGGATCTCAAATGGAATCGTAAAGGTGACAGTGGACCGCTAGGTGCACAATGAATGGCAAAGGTATGAGAGGCGCACAGAACTTCTCCGTGAGTTTCCTTTGGTGATAAACCCTTCACGTTCGCGGTGGCGCCTTTCGCACAATTATAAAAGCCATTTAATGAGGTGCTTTCAATAGTGCAGCTTAGATTTTGTACCTCTAGTAGGGTTAGGTCTATCCTTTTTTGAAAGTTAATGAAAATTTCCGAAGATACAAGGTTCGGGATTTTAGGAGTAAGTGCGGCATTTTTGCCCTTTTTAGCTCCCAAGAGGGACTTTTCACGGGTAGTTTAAGTTCGACGTGACTGACTCTTCTGCTACGTCCGAAGGAGGGCATTCATATCTAGCTTTTATTTCAGCAGGTGCGCATTTACAGTTCTCTGCGAAGGTACAGTTCAACGTTGCTGCCGCTTGCTGATTTCCGGAAAAAAGATTTGGGATTATCTTTCCCGTATAAATGGCTGTATCTGTGCCATCAGTGATGAACCCATTGCTCAATTGTGGCATAAGGGGTATCGTGAGGGATGTCATGGTGATTTGCAGGGATTGGAGATCTATTAGAACGTTGGGAAGGAGTCCTGCTATGTACCACTCTCGATCAGGGTTTGCGTTGGCGGTTTCAACTAATACTTTTACCTTCACCTCCTCCTTCCAGCGCAGGCAACGGAATATTCTATAAATTTTCGTGTTTTTTGCTTTGCGTACAGCCGAAAAAAGAGGCAACCAGAACTAAATGATCCACATAGGCATCCAAACCTCCACAGGATTCATAGCAATCCGTTCGCCCAGGATATGAGTTACCGATTCGGAGTTCTGGTATAGGGCTAGAGCTATTTATACTGGCGCACTTATCCCCTGAAGATGATCCTCGGTAGGGACAGCGTTTGCTGTCAATAACACGAGTCCCAGTGGAGCGTGTGAAGTACTGTGTCTCTTCTTTGCAACGTAAATATAATCCCACCCATCTAACCTTGACATTGGCGACGAGAGAAGATATGTAGATTGGGCGCAGGCACGCGTGTTGTGCAAAGCTATCAAGTTTCAATACTTCTGTTAGCCTGACCGAGCAAGATTCTTTACCATTACTGTTGGTACAGATTGTGGCATGATGTTGCAATACGTTAACCTCCTAGCACGACAACGCAGGGCCTGCAGCATAGGCTAATAATGTTATCATTATGGCAAGTGCTGCTGCTAACCGTGCGTTCAATGAAGATCGAGAGCGGGTTCTGAATTCGCGTAAAAGGCCTAGACAACCGCACGAGATAATTTAATTTTTGAGCAGCAATGAAAGTTCAATGAGTAGGAGGCGCAGCGGTTTCCCAACAGTTACCGGTACATAAAGGAATGCATAGAGCAGGGCAACGATTCCATAAAGTCCTAGAACAAATGTGAAAATTGCCGACACTCTGGATTCAAGGAATTGGAGGTGCATGCCCAGCAATCTATGTTTGCGCAAAAATCTTTTCTTCGCATTGTGTTTCGATAACTGCAATCTCGTCATTTACGTGCCATTTAAGTACAACGTTGTAATTACGCAATGTCATTTCTGGTGGGAAGCGTATTAGTTTTGGCTTACCAATGAAATGTTCAATTTTGCGAACCGTATCGGCGCGAATTTCAAAAACTTGTGATTTAGCTGAGTTTATTATGACGCCTTCTTCAGTACAGGATAATTGCATGGCCGTTGAGTAGTTGCCCAGCGTAGATCGGAATAATGAAAGAATCATCATGTAGAAGAGGAACTACTTCGACATTTGCACTAGAATGGGTTGTGAAGGAGTGAGCGTTGTTCTGAGCATAATTCCTTGGATGACGTTGACGTAAATTATATTGGTGGGTATTCCTTATTTCGCGGCTCTCGGACGTGTTATTCTCTGCAATATGCGGGCTAGGTGACTTATCTGGTGCTTTCTGAATCTCTAAAGGACTCAGTATGTTTACGGAATCTCCTGTTTCTTGGTGGTTTGAAGTTCCACTTTTCAAATTTTTCCGTCGTGCCCTCTTCTGTGGCCGTTATGCGCGCCGTTTTCCATTCGTACCTTGGAAGGACTGGATTATGGATCAGAACAATATCTCCTACTGTTGGGGTATCATGTCCTAGATTGCGAGTAGTTGAAAGGCGCTTTTGGGTCTCCCTAGGGGCGGTCAAGCATTGTTGTTACCACACTGCCCAGAACATTTCTGTTTCTTGTATGGATGAGTGCAAGGCTCTTATCACTTGCTGGCGATATTGCAGGGTGTGACTTGCATTTGCAGATAAGTAGGGAGGGTCATCGTTTCAATTTCGGGAAACGTTAGTACAATGTCTCGTTGCAGGAAATTTGCAGGGCGCACCAAAGTCATGTTTTCCTGTATGGATCCTTGATAAGTAAGGGGTCTGGAATTCAAGCATGCTTCAATTTCGGTAATAGTAGTGTGAACACTATCGAACGAGCGCGGTTGACCAGGAGTTAGTGCCTTGAGGCTTTATAGATTTGATGAGGCAACTCACCTTGCCAAGGCGCATATGGTGTTAGATAATTCCATTTTATCCCTTATTAGCTATGACATGTTGAAAATCGTCATGCAATTCCTGTGGATCATTCAAAATATTCGCACTCAAAATAAAGGTTTGTGCATTATCGCAGTTAATGACTCTGGAACGCCTCTGCGAGCCACGAATCGTCTGAATGTGTTTAAGAATTCTTCTCTGCCCATGCTATGTACAACTTCCAGATGAACGAGACGCGTAGCGGTGCATGTGAAAATGCACCCAAAAATTTTTTGGGTAATCCCATTTTCCGTGCAAGGAGATAGGTGCAAAAAGTCCAACCCTGAGTGTTGGGAAGGTTAGCTTCTCAAACCCCTTTGACTCGGTAAGTCTAGGGTGTCAGGGTAACGGTATGGTAAGGCGTTCAACTTCCTACATGGGATGCAGTGGGTGGTCAATTTCCGAACTCCTCTTTATCGCTTTGATATTTTCTCTATGGCAGCCTCTACCTATTATCCGTTATGCCTTTCATATATTTGAACAGAAGTACAGGTTTATGAAGTGCGTTCCGTCATCTCTATGGCTTGTATTATTTACTTTGAAAATCTGATATTTCTTTGTTCGAAATCTCTGAATAGAAGTGCAGGTTTATGACGTAAGTTCCGCCCCCTGTATTCGAACAAAAGTGTGCATTTTTGACGTGCATTCCGTCCTCTTTATCGCTTGTCCCACTTATTGTGAAGATCTGTTGTCCTTTCTTGAAAGCCTTCACCAACTTTTCCTTACCTCTGCAGTGCATTT